GTGGACGACACACCCCTGGGATGTGCTGAATAGGAGCTACAGAGAAGGACTGGGCGAGAGACAAGGAGACGTACAGCATGAGGTGAAGGACCAGAAAGACAGAGAGGTGAGAGACTGCAGACAAACAAAGAGAGACTGCATTGGGAGAGTAGAGGTGTAGTGTGCTTCTGTTCAGCAGTGATCCATTCATATTCAACCCAAACTAACCTGCTGAAAAAATGACTGGAACTTAGACTAGATCAACTTTTATATGTATGATAGGGCAAACATGTAAGCAAAGTGCTCTATGTGAACAAGGCTTGTATTATTGGAATCACTGATGGTTTCGAAAATGTTGTTTTGTGGTGTTAAATAGTGAACACTTGTAATGAGCTTTCCAGGCTGCTGCATGTTATGGGGAAAGTGTGTTATTTGGCTGCGCTTATTCAAGCAGAGTAGGTAATAAGTGTGTAATGGGGAAACAGTGGAGTTGAGATCCAATGAAAGCGGGGGGTCTGTTGGAATACACAACCAAGCCTGCTTTATCAAAATCGGCAAGGAGCCGTTTGGGGCTGCTAGTGTTCAAACACAGATAATAAACTGAAAAGAAAAAAAAATTATTCAAAATGGTCAGAAATAAGAAATGCAGTCTGGTTAGTTTTAGTATTGTTGTATCATTTCAAATAGGGATTTCAACATTATACAACAATATAATGTACAACAGCACTTTCTTATCAACTTTTATCAGTGGTAGCTGGATAATCCGACCAAATTGCTATTCATTAATTCAGCCTGACATTAGATTAAAGTAGGGCTGACCCTCAATAGTCGAAGAATCGATGCTTCGATGGGCGGAGCATGTGTAGGCGCAGCGTGTGTGCGTGTGTGTGGTGGCGGAAGAGGAACACTTGCTGAAGAGACTGTGCCCCGGCTTCACACAGTCGACTATAGGCAGGACTTCATGATTCTGATTCGACTATGTAAATTGGGGACAGCCCTACATTAAAGTATGACTTGTAATATGTAATTTAATGATTACTTATCGTAAGGAAGGGATCATTTTCTTTTGTTTTTCCCAGACCAATCAGTAGCCAGTGATGTATCAGTTATGTTGATGTCATTTTCAGTTGACAGGGAAGCTGAGGTAGCGGTTGCTAGGAGCACTTAACTTAAGGGTTTTTACATCAGACATGATCATTAACAGATCTCATCTATGTTTGCCACAATTTCCTGTTGTTATTTTTAATGAACGTGGATAGGTAGCTTGTTAGCTACATGGGCAGATGATGGCCCTTTCATAATCCCACCTACTAAGCTCTGATTGGTCGACTGTCTCTCCAATGGGGGAGACAGCTGTCAATGGACACAACACTAGACTTATTTGAATAGGTGAAGAAATGTGAGACGTGGCTGGTGATTCAGGGGTGCAGAACATGGCTAACTAACTAAAATGTTGATGTGAATAACATTTGAGAACTTCAACCCTAAGGTGTACATGCATAAATCGGAGACAAAGTTTGTAGTGTTATGTCTGTTGTCAGTCTTTCATGCAGATGTACAGTCAGCAAAATACTAAAAATTTAGAAAGTTAAGCACATAAGACATTTAAAACGTGTAAGCAAGCACAAACTTTATTGGAGCAGGAAGAATGTTGGATGTAGGAGGAATACATTATGAGCATGTAGACCTGGGGCGGGCCTAAATAAAGGTCATTGACATCAGCTCCTCTAACCACCTTTTAAAGCAGCAAACAGTTTCCTAATGGGCTGGGAGGTAAGTCCACAGTAAATATTTCTTGCCCGGGAGGCACAGAGGAGCAAAACACAAACATATACACCATCCCAAAAAGACTCCAAACACACTCTAAATGTGGTTCCGAAGGGAGACGATGTTCCTTTTTAAGTTGAATTTATGCTTCAGGAAACACTGAAATTCCAGTCAAGCTTTTTATGCATAATGATGTGCACTAAGTAAGTTGTTTTAGAAGGCAACGATATCAACGGAGTAAGACTAAAACTACAGTAAGCTGTAGCAGAACTATTGTTCACATCTAGAAATATATGAGAAAAACAACAATTTCTTTAAGCTGTGTAGATGATAGCAAAAATGGAAATATGCTTATCATAAACGGAGTTGTACAACAGAAAAGATTATTTTGATTATAGAAGAAACCTGCTAGTGTTGCTTCAAGAATCACATCTTAAGATCTTAAGATTTGATTTGGCTCAGGACACATCCGGAGGACATCTGCTATACTCCTAAAACTTTGCACAGCATAACTTAATGCAAATGATCTTTTAGAATTACCGAAGCCACCCACAAAGATTAACCCGTGCATTGCGCCTGCATTTGAGCCTAAGTGGCATTTGCATGGGCATGATAATTAAGCCAAGACACAAAAACAGTGATCATCCCATCAAGTTGTCAGTGCAGTATGAACTGGTCTCCGACTACAGGTGAGTCAATAAGCTACTCAATATGGAATTCAGCAACAGTGAGTGCGTGCACACGCTCACTGAGTGCTCCAGCCCCACCTGTGCATGACTCACACCTTTTTTGTCTCACACATGAATCTAATGACAGCTGTAAGGGCAAGTCAATATGCATTAACACACCATAGAACTGTAAATTGGTTGTGCTACACATAAGCATTAAAGGAAAATTGCAGTCTGAGAATAGCTTCAGATGACCTCAAAACAAGAAGATGAAACGCCACGATGGCTCGCCCAACCAAAAGAAAAACATCATTATAATTTAATCAAAGTTAATCATATTTTCTAGTGTGGCTCCATCAGCGCATAAATTACTAATGTTGCAGGTCAGTTCAGATATCAAACCTCCCTTTCAAACCATTTGTTGGATATTCAATAAAACAACAAGGACATTATCTGAATTCAGTCTCCCTATTTCCAATTTAAGTAGTTACTGTTGTAGAAAATAAAGTTTTTGTTTACTCTTACCATCTTGGCACTAAACTACAAGCTGTTCAAAAGAACACATTGTTTCAATCCCTCACTCTGTCATGTAGTAGTTACAAAATTATAAAAATATTTGCTTGAAAGATGAAGAAATCTCTATCAGCCGCTTCTCTCGCTCTGTCTTTCTCACTCTAACTCCCTTTCTTTCTCCCTCCTTCCAGCACTACTCCTCGTCCCGTGGTGTCACAGTCCATATGGTGCTGCAACACTGTTGGTCTCCCGTGGCCACACTTCCCACGATGCATCTGTGGGTCTGGGCTTTCAAGGGAGCTGATAGGCTGAGAGGACTGTGGTATCGACCAGCTATCGCCTAGTGTGAGGTCAGCTCTGTGCAGCAGTGGAGTGTGTCCGAACAGCACACACCACTGACTTCCAGTCTTTTATCCATCCCGCCAATCAATCTTCCATTTTCTATCGTTACCTTTGCCTCCACAGAACGAAGTATGCTCTTCAGTTGTATTCTTTTTCTTTTCTGTGTGTGTGCCATTAAACATTTTCTTCTTAAACTACAATCAGATAGATCAAATTATCTTATTTCTTGAAACCACGCACAGTCAGACATGAAACCTTGACAGTATGTCAACCTTTTCAAGCGATAATGTAGATGTTCCATTAGGAAAATACCATCAAGGACTCTTCAACAAACATTTATTTACTTTTAAAGGGGATTTTACTCTGTTTTGAATTGTTGTGCTGTCTTGCTCTGAGCTCTCTTCCTCTCCTGTCTGTGTCCACGCAGAGAAAACAGAGCTTAGTACAGATCAATCCCATTGAGTCTGACTCCTTTCACAAGCCAGGGATCAATACTGCCTGTTTCATGTCCCTCTGCAATATACACATGTGCACACACAGCTACACACAACACACACACACACACACACACACACACACATACAGACATGCCTATGAGAGCAGGCCCACCCCTTTAGAGATGACCTATCGGCCTATCGGCTAACTTGCTCACCAGGGGATACAGAAGTTCATTATGACAGGCTTGCCAGTGCTAAAGGTCTGCTTTGGTCCTCTGTTGCAAAATGCAGCATTTACACCATATGATTACATTAACAGCTTGTCGCAGAGGCCTCGTAAGAAACACACAGTGGCTAAAAGTAGTATACAGCAAGAAAACCTTTATATGGGCAACAATGTGACTGTTAAATGTGTGATAGCAGGTGTTTAAGCAATGTAAGAATCACATAACAGGACTGGACGGGCTCTAAAAGGGTTTAGCTATGGTTGGCTCAACCATACGCGCTGGACAGGAAAATGACTTGCTTACTGAAGCTACACTGAGAGCAGAAAATGCTCAAATTTGACAGGAAATTGCTACTTCCTTGAGTTTCTAGTTTTGCATTTTTTTCTGTTATAACTAGAAAGAGATATAACCCTGGAACCATATTACATCTCAAGAACTCCTTTTTTGATGGAGCCTGCAAAAACATCACTTTGATGCTTAATAACAGTATGCCTAACCGTTTATGCAAATTAACTTTTTGGGAACTAAGTTTATTTGCTTTCTTGCTGAAAGTGAGATGAAAAGATCTATAAGGTAAATATGAAGCTAGTGACAGCAGCCTGTTAGCTTAGCTTAGCACAAAGATGGAAAGCATGGCAAAACAGCTAGCCTAGCTCAGTCCGAAGTAAAAAAAAAAATGCACCCATATTGCTCTTTAATTAACACTACATTTGTTTAAATCAAAAAAGGTGTTAAAAGGCACATGGTTCCATATAGAACAACCCTTAAAACCACAACATGTCATTTTTAAATGTTGGCTTTCATTTGGACATTGCAAGGCTTGCTCCAGCCCCCTATTTTCAGTCTTTATGCTAACCTAAGCAAACCAGCAACTGGCTGTAGCTACATAGTTACTTACAGACATAAGAGTGCTAACAACATTCAAGAAAAAAAAGTGTATTTCTCAAGATGTTTAACTATACCTTCAGTCACTGTCTTGATTTTCCATCTAATGTCTCCAGTCCAGCACTGTATGGATGAAGCCCAAAACTGTACAGTTTAATAAATGCTTTTCTCCAAAAACCCACCTTGCCTGGAGTACTCATCAGCCTCGTGGTGAACCAGGTCAGTCACACACCCACCATAGTGCAGTCTCTGCTCATGGTCGAAGGCCTTGAGTGTCTCACTGGAGCTGTAGGACTTCTGAGTTGGTACACGGCACTCATCTGCATCCAGGGAGGAGGTGTTGTACTGGGAGTCTTTGGAGCAGCGACCCCTCGTCAGGGAGCGGTGCCTACGATCCTTCAGATCCATGCTGAGGTTGGGTGGGGGAGGGATGCAGGGGAAGAGATGGAAGTAGAGGAGAAGGAGATGGGGATGAGGGGCGATGGAGGGGCCTCCTAGCGGGCCTCCTTATGTCAATCTCCACTTCAGTCACCTGGAAAACAGAGATAGGGAGAGGGAGAGAGTGGAAAAGACAGCAAAAGGTTGGTATAAAATTAATGGATGCACTGCTGTGACTCACTCTTGCTTTGCACTCTCCGGAGAATCTACAGGGAAAGTTAGGTAAGAGGGAGTGCGGCGAATGGACATTCGAGCAACCAAGCACATATACAACACATTGGAGTATTGATGTGGGATAAGTAAGGCTCTTGTGGGGAGAAACAGAGCTGCCAGCACTGTGGTCCACAGAGATAGTCAACCATCGACCGCGCTGATGAAAAATGGTCAGCCAGCATTTAAATCTACGACATAAAAACAGAGATTGACTCAAACATGGTCCAGTCATCCTAAACTGATGTCAGCAACCCATGAACACAGACACGCAAAGGGAATACAATGATGACAAGAAGGGGGCAGAGAATAAAGAAACCAAAAGATGGGTGGAAAGCCGAGAGGAAAGACAGACAAAATGATGGGACAAGGGACACAAATTATTCACACTGGAAAAAGGTAAAGGGCGAGAAAGAAAGTAAAGCAGCCGGATGCAACAGGAAGCAAGCAAGACGAGGAGAAATGAGTTGAGGGCATTGCTAGTCTCTCCCTCATTATCAGAGTGACAATGAATCCCGCTCCCTTAGAGGCTGTAAGGGATAATCACACACACACACACACACACACACACTACAGCACAAACACCCAGAAACAAACACCATCAAATGCACATATACAGTATGGAGGTACCTATGCAGAGAGAGAGACTGTATTACCTGGCTCTGACAAAGCTTGTAACACAACTTAACATGTACATCAAGACATCACCTTCTCTGTGTTAGAGGCCGATCTGTCTAGTGATATCACATCACAACTGGTCCACTTTTAATCTATTACAATCTTATACTTGTGGATGCAGATTATACATGATTATGATGCTAATACAGCATGATACTAGTTCAGCGGCCTTGAGCAATGCATTACATTAGCAGCTAAAGATCAAAGTACAACAATACGACAACCAGCAGTAATTGACAGGAACGCTTCCAGCAGCTGCCTGTATGGGATATTTATGGTAATAAATAGGTCATCCATGTTTCTATTGCTTCAGGCCAAGGAAATTCTGGTCCACCCACTGACTTACAGCGTAGCTTTGCATTTTCATCAAAATATCTCTCAGTTTGGGCAGAATGTATTGATATCAGAGCGGGCAAGGCCATTTCTAAAGAGCAGGCATCATTTGATTCAGAATATGTGATGTAACTAATTGTATGCTGGGGCGGAGGATGAATGAGAAGGAAGAAAGAGAGAGAGAAAGATACAGAATGTGAGTCAATCTATTCAATGAGGGCTCATTTTAAAATGCTTAGAAGGTAGTATTGAAAAGTGCCCTGCTATGTCCATTGATTAACAGTAGGTATTAAGTCTCATAAAGAGCTCATTATGCTCCAGCATCCATCACACAGGCTATTAGGAGTTCAACCTTAATGTGTCGGTACCTTGAATGGAGAGTAGGGAAACAGAGAGGGATATTGGCTCAGGAAATGTGGGGACATTCTGATTGGCATTATGCAAACGATGGGCAAACAAGCCTTTGTAAGTGTACGCGGTTGTGTGTATGTCTGTTGAATAGTGGTCAGAGCTATGATTAAGAGATTATGATATTGGATATTTTAGGAAATGCACTTATTTGCTTACTTTTTAAAAGTTAGATGCAGAGTTTGACACCACTCATTGTATACATGTTAAACACAGAGCTCAAGGCTCAAGGCTATTTGCCTAGATTAGCATAAAGAGAGGAGGCAAGGTGAAACAGCTAGCCTGACTCCTCCAAAGTTAAAAAAAACATATGCCTACCAGCCAGGGGCGTAGGTATAAACAGTGTAGACATTACACTAGGGCCCACACAGTCAGTGACGGGAGCATCAATTGTCAATTATATGGTAAAATGCATCTAAATTCATAATGTAACATTAGATTACATTAGATGCTCTCCTCCTACCATTGAACTACCATTGTAATCACGTGGTATATACCCCTTTACCGTGGTGTCAGTCAGTAGTTTTACCCACAAAAGTGTGTAGCAAGCAGTAAAACAAACAACCGAATAAATATTATTTACTTATTTTCTTTGGTATTCGTGTCACATAGCTACACATGCAATGATGATTGCTGGGTGTGACGGAAAGGTAAGAGCAGTCACCCCACCTGGATTCAAACCTGGTTCTACAGGGTACCAAACATGCAACTTGACCGCAACGCCAAAGAGCCAGTCTCGTTGGTATGGCAGTCACAGTGCATACTCAACCGTAGTGATGGTGGTCTGTCACACTGGGTAATACTTGTACGGCTGTCCAGTCTTAAGTTTCTATTTGATCATTTGACAAGACGACAAGACTTTAGCAAGGTGAAACTGGGTGAAACGCAAAATTGAACAAGTACAATAGCAGAGCACATGTGCAAGCTAGCAGTCATGCTATTTAAACATAAAAGTTGTTTCAAGAAGAGACAGGAGAGAAAAGAACAGGAGGAGAGGGTCGCCAAGCTCCCAAATAAGACTGTTTTGTCGTTGTTGTGATTTTGCTCAATGCAGGGCTCGTCAGACGCCTTTCAAATAGGTGAGTAAACATTACAAGTGCTTTTTCAAGGGATTTGGTGGGGCTGCTGTGCTCCTGTTTGAAAGGCTGTTATCATTTCAGGGTCAGGTCGCCGCTGTGCACCAGTTTGTGTGGATGTGAATGTGCTTGTGGGTATTAAACCATGTGTGCGCCATAGCTGGCCTGTGTTCAGGACATGGTGTTGTTTTTACGTAGGCAGCTTTTCTTGCTCATTAACATGATCTCTCTGTTGAAAAGGAATGGTGGTTGTCGTGCACTCAGCTGTTTATAGTGACATTTCAGGATTTTGACAATGACAGCACTGGCAATTTGTTAATATGAAAAGAAATTGATTTAAGAAGGTTATGTATTTACTGCATATAATCTTATCAGTTGTTAAACTGTACACAATGAGGAAACAAGGCACACAAATTTGCAATATAGGGTTCTGTTCTAGACATGAACAGAGTGTGTGTGCGTGTGCTTTGTAACTGAGGAGCCCAAGGGCCCATTATAACCGCCTGCACTGGGGCCCGTTGTTACTACCTTACACTACTGCTACCAGTATCTTTAAAGTCCACAAAAAAATATGTTGTATCATGTTTAATCTCTATACAAACTAAAAGGGAAAACAAACAACAACCTGGGGTTTTCAGGTAAGGTAAGTTCTGTAAGTTTTTCTTGACAAACATCACTTTATCCCTCCACATAGTGCTGTAGTACAGCTCCTACGCCAACATGTATGTAACAACAAGAATCCAGGAACAACAAGAATCCAGGAAGTCTCACGGCCTGGCTGTTAGGCTATCGAGATGTCAGATCACACTGACATTTATAATGACAGAATGCTGTGCCGGTCCCCACCATATGTCTAGGTAAGGACAGTGTAGTGGTTTATTTAAAGTTTCTGTTTTTAGCGACCTTCAAAGAACAACATTTCAAAACAAGGAGAGCATAGAGGAGATGCCATTTTTACAACATGTAGACATTTTAGACAGCAGTGACAGTGGATTTTATGGATATCATGGAAATCAAGTTACAATAATGTAAGTACCCGCACTGCTGTGCTTGTATGGTACCTGTAGTTTTGTATGCTAACAATTTTAATTATGCTAGAAAAATATGCTAACACACAATTTGTAATGAACATTTCTAACTTTCTAATCTAAAAGTGCTGTAGTAGATGCTCATTAACTTCAGAATATGGATAGTAAACCCCAGGAACAATTTGTACTTTTTAAGATGCAAGAATTGCTGAATAAGAGATTGCATTGAGTTACAGAAGCTAGTGGAAAAGCAACTAGCTTGGAGGTGACATCAGGACTTTGGCTCTTTATTTGATACAAAGTAGTAACAGCACTTAACCCTAAAACCTTAAACCAACCGCTTCCAGTATTTATATTAAGCTAGGCTAATCACCTCTTGGCTCTAGCTCTGTCTTCTCCTCTAAATCTTGTAAAGAAAGTAAATGAGCTGAATTCAAAAATGTTGAACTATTCCTTTTAAAGCTGTGACATATTTTGCAAGGCAGTGCATATAGCTGGGTTTACAGATATAGTAACAAATAAATTAACTTAATATCCCCCATTGTACAGTTAAAATTTGTGTGTAGCGATCACACTTGAAGAACTTGGTAGTAGTTTGTAGGTGTAATGGTAGTTGAGGAGGAGGAGAAAGAAGGCAAAATGAGAGATAGATGGATAAAGTGAAGAAAGCCCAGGGGTCCAATCACAAGATCTGGAATGCATATCAATCACAATCCCCCCACGCAGGTCTATTGCTCAAGGTCGCTAAAGCACACACCTTTGCACGCACGCACACACACACACACACACACACACACACACACACACACACACACACACACACACACACACACACAGCAAACTTTTTCTTGTTAATTACTCTGGTGACAGCAGTCCAACCTTCGCTGATGATTACACTGAGGCGTATTATATCATTTATTAGAAGTATAATGACTTATTGTCATTTGAACCATGAAATTGTGGTATGCAACCAGTCAGACACACAGATACATGCATATTCATATACAAAGACCCAGAAAGACAGACACACAAATGCAACACTGTGCAAGTAGCTGTGTTTCCTTGACAGGCAAGAAAGGGTGGTTAGATGAAAGAGAAAGAGACATGCGTACGACCGCGAAGTGACCATGAAATCCAGGCAGAATGAGAAAAGTAATTGGAAGACGACAGGGAGGGTGGATAATTCATTTTCGAAATTACAGAGGTGAAGTTTGGTACATATAATGGCCTTTTCTCTGAAAATAGGAGCTTGGGAAGAAAAATATGGAAAATGACACAATGTAAATCAACTGTAACTAGAAATCACACCCAGTTAATAGGAAGCTAATGACATCAATGGATTAGTCAGCATCAAAGAAGAT